TGGTGCCTCCTGGGGACCTCCTGTGGGCCATCTGGGGAACTCTAGGGGCCATCTGGTGGACCTCTGGGGGCCATCGTGGGGGGCTTGTATGAGCGCTGCCCGTCCTCCTGGTGTGACTCGTTCGGGCTCCTCGTGGTGTGAGTCGTTCGAGGCCCGCGTCGTGGTGTGAGTCGTTCGGGCTCCTCGTGGTGTGAGTCGTTCGGGCGGCTCGTCCTGGTGTGAGTCGTTCGGGCCCCTCCTTGTGGTGTGAGTCGTTCGGGCTCTTCGTGGTGTGAGTCGTTCGGGCCCCTCGTCCTGGTGTGAGTCGTTCGGGCTCCTCGTGGGGCCTCTTGGGGGCCTCTTGGAGCCTCTTGGGGGCCTCTTGGGGGCCTCTTGGGGGCCTCTTGGGGGCCTCTTGGGGGCCTCTTGGGGGCCTCTTGGGGCCTCTTGGGGGCCTCTTGGGGGCTCTTGGGGGCCTCTTGGAGGCCTCTTGGGAGCCTCCTGGGGGCCTCTTGGGGCCATCTTGGGGCCTCTGGCGATCTCTTCAGAAGCGCAAATGAGCGCTGCCCCTTGAGAAGGACAAAATGAGCCCAAAACCTTCGTAAAATCAATGATTTTGCTATGAGGAAGAGAAGCGCGGCCCCCTCAGGAGGCCAAAATGGGGCCAAACCGTAGTAAAATCAATGATTTTGGCTTCAAAGAAGAGCAGAGGGGCCAAACTCGGCCCCCCCGTCGGGGCCAGAATCCTCGTGAGGGTCGTCGTTTTTTGGCCCTCCCAGGAGTCGAAAAAGACCCCCCTGAGAACACTCGGGACTCCCTGTCCAGGCCCAGGGGGAGGGGGTAGGGGGAGGGGTAAACCCCTCCCCGAAGGGGAAGAAGGGGGGTTGAGGACAGAGAGAGCTCTCTAAACCACTCACGCCCAAAGGGCTGGTGGGATTCCGCGGTTGCCCGGCGGCGCAAATCATTCGAGTAGCGCCCCGCCGATCGTTAATGCGGCGCGGCAACGCCGGCTTGTGCGATCGCGTTGGGCCCCCACGGGCGCCCCTGAAGCCGCGCACCAAAGGTCACTCTAGCCTATGGTCACTCCTACGTGTAGTCGAAAGGGGGCGAGGCTCCAGGGCGGCCTAACCGACCCCTAGCAAGCCATCCCCTTCCGTGGCGTTCCCTTCGCCTCGCCCCAAGACGTACGTGTGCGGCCGGCGGGGAGCTCAAAAGGCGAAGGTGACGGCATGGAAGGGGATGGTCTGCGAGGGCCGGTGAGGCCGCCCCCGAGAGGCGTCCAGGGTCGGCGCCGTGAAACAATCATGGCCTCGGGGGTCTGGGTCCCGAAGGATCTTTTGGTGCGGGCCCTTGGGCGCCGCGTAATGGGGGGGTCATAAATGGGGGGGGGGGCGAATGGGTGGTTCGAAAAGGTACCGCGTAATGGGTGGTTCGAAAAGGTACCCAAACGGTACCTAAACGAGCCCTCTGGGGCTCGAGAGGGGCCCGAAAGGGGCACGAAAGGGGACCGTTTCTGACCCCCCCACTTATGACCCCCCCATTAAGCCACGCCCAAGGCCCACGGTCGGGCCCCCCCCCCTAGCCGTACGGTGACCACACCCTGCGGTCGGGGACCCCCTCCTCGGTGGGCCGGTGGAGATTCTTTTGGGCGGCCGCGCGGTGTTTTGGGGGCTCGGGTCGTCCCCCGAGGACGCCTCGGGCGATTGGGGCTTCGCAGGCCGTTGGGAGGAGGGAGGAGGAAGCAGGGAGCAGGAGGAGGAAGGGGAGGGGGAGGAGGAGGAGGAGGAGGGAGGGGAGAGGAGGAGGAGGAGGAGGAGGAGGAGGAGGAGGAGGAGGAGGAGGAGGAGGAGGAGGAGGAGGAGGAGGAGGAGGAGGAGGAGGAGGAGGAGGAGGGAGGAGGGAGGAGGGAGGAGGGAGGAGGGAGGAGGGAGGAGGGAGGAGGGAGGAGGGAGGAGGGTGGGGAGGGAGGGAGGGAGGGAGGAGGGAGGAGGGAGGAGGGAGGAGGGAGGAGGGAGGAGGGAGGGGGTTCCCCGATCGCTGGGTGCGATGTGAAAGCAGCAGCGTGCACGCCTCTTGCTGGGCCCCCCCGCGGCCCCCTGGAGCCGCGCATCAAAGGCCACTCTTGCCCAGGGCATTGCGTGTAGCCGATGGTGGTCCGGGGGGGGGGGATCGCAGATCGAGGACCGCTGATTTGGCAGAGGTTTTTGGACGTCCGCCCTCTCAGCGCCTCCGAAAGGCTTCTTGTCGCCACAGCGGGATCCGCCTAGAAATTTTGGCTGGGCGCTCGCCAGCGGACAGGCCTTGAGTAGGGGGAGGGGGACCCGCACTTCGAGTATTTTGTTTGAGCCCCAGCGTTCTCGCTCTAGCAATTCGGGGCCCTCGGATCGGACAAACACAGTCCATCGGAGGTTCGGGGGCAAGCCCCTCTCTCCTCCAGAGCCCTGCGGAGCCTTCTCTGGATACCTCCGCGGTGACCTCTCGCAGAGAGCCCGCCTGGGAGACCTCCAGGTACTTCTCTGGGGGCCTCCACCGCCATTGGTTCGGGGGGATGATCAAGGAGCAAAAACGGCATGAACACAAACTGTCGAAGCTCCGCGCCGATTTCTTGGATTGTCGCCTGGGTCTCCCTTGGCGTTGCCTCTCGCGCCGCCCCTAGTGCGCTCCGCGCGCCAGGGAGGGGGCTCCAGCGCCGATGCAAGAAATCCGCGTGGACCTCCGAACGTTTATGCTCATGCAGTTTTGCCTTCCTCTGTCAGGCGACCGCAAACATGGATCAAGGGGGCGTGAATTAGCGACAGGTCCAGTTTCCATGGGAAATCTCGGAGTTCCGCCGCCGAACGAAGCGGCACCGGCTGCATTTTGGGGAGGGCACCTCTCCCGATCCATGTTTGCGCGCCCCCGGCTCTGCACGGCCCAGATCTCCCTGGCGGCTCGAACAGCTCGCGCCCGAGGCTTCTGCACGTGTCTGGCCTCCTGGGGCCGCTGCGGGGCCCCGGGGCCGCCAACAGCTGCTCGGCGAGGAGACGCCCGTCCCAGGAAACGGGGTCATCAAGAGGCCCTGTGCCACCGACCCGAGATGCGGTCGTCAGAGGCCTGGGGTGGAGGGTTTCTCTCAAGGGCTTAGACGACCCGTCGTCGTCGTCGTCCTCCTCCTCCTCCTCCCCCTCCTCCTCCTCCTCCTCCTCCTCCTCCTCCTCCTCCTCCTCCTCCTCCTCTTAGTCCTCTTCCTCCTCCTCTTCCTCCTACTCCTCCTCCAGCTCCTCCTCCTCCCCCTGCCCCTCCTCCACCTTCTCCTCCTTCTTCTCCTCCTCCCTCTCCTCCTCCTCCTCCTCGGGTCGCCTACGGCCCCGGGGGAAACCGTGCAGTCTGGGTAGAAGAAGGACGGGTGTTTTTTATGTCGCTCTCACAAGGTGCTCGGGGGCCAATGAATGGTGTAGTGGCGACTTGGGTCGTTGAGGAGCCCGAGGTCACCACGCGGTCCGTCACCACGCGGTTTGGGGGCCCCGGAGGTTTGTCGTGTTTGAGCAGCCTTCACCGACACACCTGGCTTGGCGCCGGAATCCTGTTCAGAGCGCGCCCCGGGGCATGTGATTTTGAAGGATGGGCATCTTGGCTTCGAGGATCGGCAGGTCGATATCAGTGCACCCTGTAGGTATGCGGGGGTGAAGCGGCGCGAGTACCATGTTGACTAGTCTTTCTCATAGGTTCCAAAGACCGTGGAAGGAAACACGATAGAGATGAGCGCACGCATCTGGAAGACATCTGCGCGGACCTCTCAAAGTTTCTATTTACATATTTGTTCAATGTTCTTCACTGCTCTCAAAGGGCAGGGCAAACTGCTCCTTCTACTTCTTCTCGTCATCCTTTCCCTCCTCGTTCTTCTCCTCCTTTCCCTTCCCCCTGTCTTTTCTCCCCGTCCTGACTTTCCTGTGCACCCGTCCTGACTACTGGAGCCCCCGAGATAGCATGCTCGAGGCAGAGGTGTGGCAGGTGCCAGGCACCCTTGATTACCAATCGTACCTGCGCGTGGTGTTTGCATGTTTATGCCTGCGCACCCCATGCCGAACGCAAGGCACGAGCCTCCGAACCCCTTTCGGCGCGCTGGGTCAATCGCCTGAGTCCGACACCCGCCGCCCGCCCGAGAAGGGCAGCACTCAAATGGAAGGCGTGCGCGGGGAAGCAGGCACGTGTTTCGAAGTAGGAGGTCGACTGCCGAATTGATTTGCCCCAGAATTGGCATGTTCTTCAAGTCTACGACGAAAAGTACGTTCAGTTGTGTAGATCCACGAGATCAACGAGAAAATCAGTTCTCGGGTGCATCAATTATGTAGTCGATCTCCTACTCGAAAGACGCGCGCGGGGGAGCAGGTACGTTTTGCGCATGCTTGCTCGCAGGCGTGATCAGACCTGCTCCTTCTGGGAGATCCGACGTCATGAGAAGCTTGCAACATCGTAGAACAGACCTCGACCCGAGCCTCGGACCGCATCGAGCCGCATCGATCGGGGAGGGCCCCGGGGCCCGAAGCAGGGCAGCACCGCCCGCTGTGGACAGCTCGCGACGCCAGGATCTTAGGGTGCTCCCTCTTGCCACTCCTCCCCCTCCTCCGCCCCCGCAGCTATCTGGACCCAGGGGCAACCTTTCGCACGAAGGGCTGTCCAGGTGGCCGCGCTCCTGCTCGCGCGCTGCCGGATCCACCGTGTGTGGGACCACGTGCGGCCTGAGGTCCAGCCGGCCGGGACCACCATACATTTTGCACGTGCAGCGGTCCCCTTCTAAGAAGAGGCTGCTCACCAAGGCCTTCCTTCGAACAGTGAAAAAGTCACAAACAGTAAAGTTTCGGAGGTCCGCGTGGATTTTTGGGGATCGGCGCCAGTCCCCCCTCCCTTGCGCACGGAGCGCGCCAGGGGCGGCGCCGGAGACACCGCCGGAGAGGGCCCAGGCACCGATTCAAGAAATCTGCGTGGATCTCCGGAAGTTTCAGTTTGTGCAGTTGTTTCTTTCTTTGAGTCCCGCAGGCGCCATGGGGTGCTCGAGCTCCTCGAGCCCCAAGACGTTCCGCCAGTCCGACGCTTGGCACCCCGACGCGCGGACGGCGATCGGAGGGGCTCGATGCATACTCCACGTGGTCTGGCCGGTCCAGGAGCCAATCAGCTCGGCGAAGGCATTCCGTGTATAGACGTTCTGGCGTCCCACAGGTTTGGAAGTTGAGGCGTCTATACTCTCAGCTCCTTGGCAGACCAAACGTCGTGGTGTATGTGACCAGACATGCGATGTCTTGACTTTTTCAGGACGGGGTCCCAGGAAGTCCCGACCCTTTCCTCAGGGCCAGTTTTCATCCCGAGTCCTTTGGCGACGGCATCGGGGCCCAGTGAGGGCCCCCCGAGGCAGAGAATTGAGAAACATGTCATTCTTGGGCTTTGAACGACGCGAGCATGTCTGGGTATGCATCGAGCCCCTCCCAGGCGAAGGGGGGGCCCTGCGGCCCCCTCGGTCCCCTCGGCGTCGCCCCGAAGAACTCCATGGGCAGCTGCGGCAGCACCATCAGCACCAGCGCTGGCGCCGTGCCCAGCCTCCGCAGCAGCCAGAACGCCAGCGTCACGTCCAGCATCCGCAGCCTCAAGACGCTGAGCACCGGCAGCAGGGACGTGAGGCGTTGAGGGAGACACAATTGCACAAGCATTCGCCATGAAGGAAGCGGGTCCTGAGGGCAACGGTTCCTGGGGTTATCCACCGTTTTTGGCTTCCCAGGGCCCTCCACGGGCCCCGGGACGGTCCAAAAACGACGCAGGATGATGAAATGGTCCTGGGGGGAGGCCTGGGGTGTCGAGGACCGGCTTCTCGCAGGACTTCTTTCCTTCATGCCAAAATTATCAGCTTTCCGAGCTCCGTGCGGATTTCGTGGATCTGCGCTGGAGCGCCCAAGCGGCGCTCCGCGCGCCAGGGGGAGGGGGTCCGGCACCAAGCCAAGATATCCGCGCAGGAAGTTTGTGGTTGTGCCATTTGGTTTTACTCTGAAGGCGGCTCCCGCCCCACCTGGAGGCCCAGAGGGCCTCGGCGATGGGCCACCAGGCGTCGGCGGGCACTGACTGTACACCTGCGCTGATCCTAGCCAGGCCGATCCTGGGCCCAGGATCGGCAATGCTCAGACATGCCTCGCCTTGATCTTTGTTCAGCGCTCCCAGCTGTCCCGACGCGTTCCTCAGGGCCGGTTTTTCCATCCCGAGCCGTTTCTGACGGTCCTGGGGCCTGGCGAGGGCACCCCAGAGTCCGAGAACGGCCAGCGGCTTCCCGTTCTGTTTTTTTTTCACGTCGCGGGCATGTCTGGGTGCCGTCCTGCCCAAGCCAGGAGGGCGTAATTATTACATCCATCCTGCGCCCAGGATGAGCCTGGCCAGGGTCGGTGCAGTTATACAGTTGGTGCCCTCCGGAGGCGCGCCCCCAGGGCGCGGACTCGCACGACGATAGGAGCACGTTCAGGAGCGCGTCGCAGTCGCGCAAGGTGCCGGTGCTGGGCCCGGTCGAGGATTCGACAATGATGGAGAGGCGTCGCTCGAAGAGCAAGGATAGCAAGAGAGACAGCAAGGATCGGTACGATCGAAATTGGTACACAGACATGCTCGCGTCGTGATAAACTTTCCGACGGGAGGTTTTTGGCAGTATTCGGCCCTTGGGGGCCCTTGCCGGGCCCCTGGGCCGTCAAAAAACGGTTCAGGATGAAAGCCAGTCCCCGGAAAGGGGTCGAGACCTTTGGGGGATCGACCTTGTGAACAAAATCATGTCGTCGGGAGCCTGTGGAAGTGGGTACGGAGTGGATATGGGCGAAGACAGACAGCAGTTCCTGCCCATGGTGACAGGACTCGCTGCCTGTGTCGCCGCGGACGTTGCCCATTTAAAGCAAGAAATCGCCCACCCATAACAGCGGCCGCTGTCGGTTTGAGAGCCTTCCCAGACAACCTCCAATCCATTTTTTTTGATCCTCGGTCCAGAGGTCCTGACACCTTTCCCCTTGGGCAGTTTTTCGTGCTGGAATCGTTCTTGTCTGCCCAGGGGCCCGAAATGGGGCCAGAGGCCCGAATCGAAGGAAGTCACATCGTCGGAGATCTGGGCATACTGTTGGGTATCGTGCCCACGTCTTCCGTGCGAGTGCCGGGCGTGCCTGAAGGAGACGGCCTCGCCAGCCACCCCGAGCACGTCGGCGCGGGGGGAGGATATTGACACCACGGGCGGCTGCAAGCCGGATGCGTTCCCCGTGGCGGAGGCGCCCCCGGCGAACGCGCGGGCGGTCGCGGGCGACTTCTGAGGAGCAGGCGACGTCGGGGGCAACGATAGCCCTAGGGCACCTTCAGCATCGTCTGACCGATTCACATCCCCACTTTACGATGCAACCTTTTCAGTCCTTTGATGGGGTTCGCAGGAGCTCGAGCAACTCCGCAAGAGCTCGCGAGTCCCAATGCGTGTGCCGTGTGATTTCCCCCCTTCGGCGCTGGTAGATCCATCGTCGAAAGCAGGCATGATTTGGCTTACTCCTGCTTGAGCTTGCTCCTGGTTGATCCGGCTTGCTCCTGTTTATTCCAGCTTGATCCCGCTTGATGCGGCTCCCTTCTGTGCACAATCGGGCCTGTTCTGGCTCAGAGTCCCCTTGATCGGGTTGAACAGCCCTTCACCGTTCTGAAGAAGGCATCTCAGGAGTTGCCTCCACTGGGCCATGGCATCTCTCAAGGGAGGACATTCATAAACATCCACTTTCGGGGCTCCACGCGAATTTCCTGGATCGGCGCTGGGCCCCCCTGGCGGCGCCAGAGGCGCCGCTTCTGGCGCGCTCCGTGCGCCAGGGAAGGTGTGTCCGGCACCGATCCAGTAAATCCGCGCGGACCTTCGAAAGTTTGCGTGTACTTACTCAGGCCGAAAGATTTTCATCTTGAGCCGCAGATGACGACGACGACGACTACGAACCGACCAGCCGACCGACGACAACCCACCGACCGACGCGCTGGCCGACTGACCGGCTGGCCGATCGACCGACCGACCGACTGACGACGACGATGAACCGATTGGCCGACCCACAGGGACACCCCTCCTCCGCAGAATTGCATTGGGTTGCAGATCCGCGGATCCGTGGATCCCATTTCTGTGGGTCCACGTTCCTAGATCTGATTGCGTGTTCAGTCCGAGGAGCGAATGGGACCCGCAAAGCTTCCACGCCAAGTAAAAGGGATCCGGGAGATAGATACATGTGATTCACGAGTTTTTTTGCACACAATGGAGTCCATGGTTTTCATTCAAGAGAAACAAAGCTATCGGCCTGTGGATGTCTGCATGTATGTTGCTCTACTTGCATCTCAGCCCCAGCGGCCCACCCCCCGAGGTGGAGACGGGCCCCGCGAAACCCGAGGGGAGAAGCAGGGGGCTCAGTCGGCCAGTGGTGCCGAGGTCGCGCTGGTGGGGATGAGGATCGATCAGGCGATGCTCACACCCGCGGTGGCGCGAAGATGATGGAACGACACGCCGCCGCTCGGAGCCTGGTCGGCGTGCTCCTCCGTCACTGTTGTCCGGAGGTCTGGTGTTCCTTCCACCGTGCTGCGCGGATGGGCCCCCCACGGCGGCGTGTCATCGACCTGGCATCGCTCGGACGCGTGCACGTTTCCCTCGGCGAGGGTCATCGGGGAGCATCCTGGATCAGAAGGCAAAGAGACCACGCACGAGACCGAAAGAAGCACAGGGGAATGGACGTCCGAGCGATGGCCGGTGGATTCTGCTCCTGCTCCCCACAGATAGCCACAGGACACCCGCGGGGGCGCGCAGACCCTTGCGGCTCGCGCGTCGCGGTCCGGGCCAGGGCGGCTGCCCTGCGCCAGGGGGGCGGCGCGAGGGGGAGATGGCGCAGAGAGGATTGCGCGGCGCGCCTCGCGGGGCGCGCTGCGCGACGTTGGGTGGCCTGGGACAGGCGGGGGGATCGGCCGAGGGCGGGGGGGGGGGGGCGCATGGACCCACAATGGCCCCTTCATCGCCGACGTGGGGGCCTGAAGGCCCGCTCCGCCCAGGAGCGTGCGCTGCCGCTGAGCCGGGGCCCGACGCGCCGAGCTACCGGCGATGCAGCGCCGATTCCAGGTGCCAATGCTCCCCCCCCCCCAGGGTCCATTTCGATCCGATCGGGCCAGCCCGATCCGATTTGATCCCGACACTTCGACGATCCGATGCGGCCCAGCGTTTGCATGGCGCTGTTGCGAATCCCGGCGCTGCCGATCCTTTTCGATTCCGATTCCGTGCCGACGTGGCCCGATCTGACGAACATGTCGGTTCGATCCGATTTCACGATGCGATGCTGACTGATTTTGCCCCCCTGTATCGTCCCTCCCCAGGCGAGGGGCAGGGGCGCGCAAGTGGCGCCCGGCCACGGCCTGGGACTCGAAGGTCGGCCCTGGAATGGACCGTGCGCTGGCCACGGGGGCCTTCCAGGGCGCAGGCGTACACATGCCTCGGGATGCAACTCCTGGCAGCTTAGTTTCAGAAGCGGCGCTGGTATGTCCATGGAATCCGGCTCAGTCCAGCTTAAACGGGCTTATTCCCGTTTAAATTCCGGCTTCATCCCTTGTTTGATCCAGCTTAGTTTGGCCCAGTGCCCTGTCAACGTGTACAAAAGTTTGTAATCTTTCTGACAAAGATATCCCAGGAGTTGCTTCCCAGCATGCTGTCCTCTGGTTTTCCGCGCCATCCCGTTCGTCGCTGGGCTCTTCGTCGCGCTCCACCGGCGGGATCGGCACCCGGGGAGGCTGCATTCTGAGGCCGACATGATCGAGCCTCGGCTGTACGTGGTGCGGCGGGCTCTCGGGTCTCAACGTGATTGCTTGCTCGCCCTCTCCCAAGATCTGGCGCCGTGCAAGAACCACGACGTTCTGGATGAACCCATCGCCATCTTGATTAAGGGGGTCCGTCATCGGGAGCAGTGACGTTCAAACCACGTGAATGCAACGCAAAACAAGATGAATCAGCGCGGGCTAATGTTCTGAAAACAACGAGGCAACGAAGTGCAGTAAACCAAGCAATTCGAATCACTGGCATTGGATACAAAGCAAGTGCTACAGTGCCATCTTACTTCAAATCATGCAGAGCACTTCTAGAAGTTGCACGTGACGCAGGTCCGTTTAACTCAGATCGAAGCCAGCCAAGCACAAGCACAGTTTTGCAAAGTCAGGAGTGGCCACATGTCCAGCTGCCTGTGGCAAGCCCCGCCACTGTTCCAGCCTAGCAGCAACCTCGGAGGCGACTGTTCGGGGGGCGCGCGGGAGGCTACATGTGAAGCGGAGGAGGAAGAGGACGGCAGTCATATGTGACAACTTTCGTCTTCACCCCCTGTGGAGCATTCATGGAGCTCATTTGGGCTGGCTTGTTGGGCTCCGTGAGGACGTCTTTGGGGTCCCTTGGGGCCGTCTTGGGCCCTTTTGGGCCGTCTTGGAGCTCTCTTGGGCCGTCTTGGGGTTCGATGGGGCCCTCTGAGACCATCTTGCGTACCTGCGGAGGCCCTTTTGGGCTCTCTCTCTGGGGGCCGTATAGAGGCCTTCTTGGGCTGTCTTGAGGCCGCCTTGGTTTTGGAAGATCCTTTGGCCATTTTGGGTCCCTCGTGGCCCGTCTAGGGGCCATCTTGCCTCCAGGGCCGTTTGGAATTGAAGGAAGTCCGAAAAGGTGAAGCCGCCGACAAGTTGCAACGACCTTTCTTGGAACGACTGATTGGGGCCCCCGCGGGCCCAACTGGGGGTCCTCTGGTCGGAGGAGTGTTGCTTCGCCAGGTTTTGCTTCATCTGGTTTGAGTTTGCCCTGTTTCGACCGTTCTTATTTCGTTTATTTTTGTTTCATCCACCTTTGTTCCGCCCGCCTTTTGTTTCGTTCGCCTTTTGTTTCGTTCGCCTTTTGTTTCGCCCGCGTTAGCTTTGCGGCGCGTTTTGTGTTTAGCTCAGGACGGTCTGGACAGAACAAGTTAATGCCCGGCGAGTTAATGTCGAGAGAGTGCAAACTGGGCGCGTGTGAAACGGGCGATTACAAACTGGGCGAAGCATACCAGGGCGAGTCAACATTGGCCGTGTATAAAGCGGTCAAGTTCAAGTAAGGTGGATAAATGCCCGGCAAGTCAAATCCAGTCAAATTACAGCTGTGCGAATTAAAACTCGACGAAGTACAACCAGGCGTATGCCGCATGAATTCAAAATCGGGCGAATTTGTCACAGATGCATGTTAATCCTGGTGCTTCGCAGTCGGGCGCATCGAACGCGAGAGCGACGGGTGGGTTTGCGATTCTCGCGGCGTTCGGCTTTTGCAAATGGTTTGAATTCGTTCTCTTGCACGCACGAAGCGCAAATCAGTAGGACGAGAAACGCCCACACAATTTACATCGATGTTCGTAGTTTGACAAGGACGAGCCCTCGAACTGCGAGAGCGCGCTACACATTGAAAACCATCATGATGACATTGTCAGACCTTTCGCGAGGGAGCCTGGCGTCGTAAATGCAAAGAACTGCGCTTCACCTGTCGGCATGAAATTTGGATCTCGACGTAATCTAACGGGCGCAGTCTTCAACGAACCCCGTATCTCCGCAACGGTTCAATCTCCATTATGGTAGTTGTTCGAAGCTTGCACAGCGAAGGTCCCTTCCATTGATGTAGCCGCTCGAGCTTGTGGGCTTGACCATCGCGCTCTCCGAGGCGACATCAAGCGAAACGCCTCTCACGCGCAGGGTGTGCTCCGCGGTCTCGCACGTTCAGATGGCGTTTTGGCCCCTCACGCGGACGGAGCTCCGTCGTCCTCGTCTTCGTCATCGTCGTCGTTCCTGCTGTCTCCGTCACCCTCGTGATCGCCGTCGCGGTTGTCGTCGCCGTCGTCGTCGTCGTCGTCGTCGTCGTCGTCGTCGTCGTCCTCGTCGCCCTCGCGGTCGTCGTCGCCCTCGCGGACGTCGCGCACCGCTGCAGCGTCCCGCCCGACCCGCCCCGCCCGCCCGTGAGGGTCCACTCGCCGACCTGCCGGCTGGGGCCCGACCGCCCAGACCGCCCATGAGGGTTCGCCCGCCCGACCCGCCCGTCTGGGCCCGACACGCCCATTTGGTCGCGGTCGCCGTCGTCGACGTCATCGTCGTCGTTGTCGTCCTCGTCGCCGTCGTCGTCGTTGTCGTCGTTGTCGCAGTAGACGCCGTCCTCGTCGTCCTTCTCCTCGTCGCCCCCGTCGTCGTCGTCGTCGTCGTCGTCGTCGTCGTCGTCGTCGTCGTCGTCGTCGTCTGCGTCGCCCTCGTCGTCGCAGTCGTGATTGTCGTCGCCATCGTCGTCGTTGCCCTCGCGGTCGTTGCCGCCTTCGTGGACGAGCAGTTGAGTGGCATGTGCGCTACTTCAATGTTCCGCCTGGCCCGACCAGCCCGCCCATTAGGGCCCGCCCACCCATACCGACCGACCCACCCGATCCGCCCGTCAGGGCCCGCCCGCACGACCCGTCCGTTTGGGCCGCCCGCCCAGCTCGCCCATTAGGTTCGTCGTCGCCCTCATCATCGTTGTTGTCGTTGTCGTCGCCGTCCTCGTCGGCGTCACAGTCGTCGCCAGCGTACTCGTCGCCCTCGTCGTCATCGTCGTCGTCGTCGTCATCTTTCTTGTCGTCTTCTTCACCCTCGTCATCGCTGTCGCAATGGTCGTCGCCCTCGTCGTCGTCGTCGTCGTCGTCGTCGTCGTCGTCGTCGTCGTCGTCGTCTTCGTCGCCCTCGCGGTCGTCGTCGCCCTCGAGGTCGTCGTCGCCCTCGTGCATGTTCAGTTGGATGGATTTCGCGTCAATTCAATGCCTTGCCCGGCCCGACCTGACTGCCCGTTAGGGCCCGCCCGCCCGACCCGCCCGATCCGCCCGTTGGGGTCCGCCTGCCCGACCGGCCCGTGGGGCCGGCCCGCCCGACCCGCCCGTTAGGGTTGTCATCGCCGTCGTCGCCCTTATCGTCGTCCCTGCCGGCATCGCATTGGTCGCCTTCGTTGCCGTCCTCGTCGTCGTCGTCGTCGTTATCGTCGTCGTCGTCGTCGTCGTCGTTCTTGTCGCCTTCGTCGCCCTCGTTATCGCCGTCGCGGTTGTCGTCGCCCTCGGGTTCGTCGTCGTCGCCCTCGTGTTCATCATCGACCTCGTGGTTGTTCAGTTGGATGGTTTGCACGCTAATTGAATGCTCCGCTCGACCCGACCCGTCCGCCCGCCCGACCCGCCCGACCAGCTCCTTAGTGCGGGCCCGCCCGATCTGCTGACCGGGGTCCGTCCGCACGACCCGCCCGTTTGGGTCCGCCCGCCCAGCGCGCCTGTCGCCTCATCGCCGTCGTCGTTGTCGTCGTCTTCGTCGTCGTCGTCCTCTTCGGTGTCGCAGTCGTGGCGCTTGTCGCCGTCGTCTTCGTCGTCATTGTTGTCGTCGTTGTCGTCCTTGTCGTCCTCGTCGTCGTCGTCGTCGTCGTCGTGTTTGCCGCCTTCGTCGCCCTCGTCATCGCAGTCGTGGTTGTCAAAGCCATCGTCGTTGCCGCCCGACCCGCCCGTATCGTCGTCCTCGATGTCTACGTTATCATCGCCGTCTTCGTCGGTGTTGAAGTCGTTGCCCTGGTCGTCGTCATCGAACTCGTCATCGTCGTCGTCGTCGTCGTCGCCCTCGCGGTCGTCGTCGTCCTTGTCGTCTTCGTCGCCCTCGTCATCGCAGTCGTGGTTGTCGCCGCCATTGTGGTCGTCGCCTTTCTCGTGGTCGCCGTCGACTGTGCGGCACCTTCAGCTGGATGGAATGCGCACCACCCGAACGCCCCGCCCAGCCCGACCCGCCCGTCAGGGTCGACCCGCCCGACCCGCCCGTTAGGGTCCGCCCGCCCGATCCGCCCGTTCGGGTCCACCCGCCCGAACCGCCCATTAGGGCCCCTTCGCCCGACGCGCCTGTTGGGGTCGTCGTCGCCGTCGTCGCCCTCATCTTCGTCGTCGTTCTCGACGTCATTGCCCTTGGCGGCGTCGCAGTCGTCGCCACCGTCATCGCCGTCGTGGTTGTCGTCGCTATCATCGCCCTCGTGTCCCTCGTGGGTGTTCCGCTGGATGGATTGCACGCGACTTTCATGTTCCGCCCGACCCGACCCGCCCGCCCTTTAGGGTCCGCCAGGCCCGCCCGTTAGGGCCCGCCGGCCCGATCCGCCAGTTAGGGCCCGTCCGCCCGTCCCGCCCATCAGGGTCCGCCCGCCCTGCTCCCTTATCAGGGACGCCGCCGCCGTCGTCGCCCCCATCTTTGTCGTCGTTGGCGTCGCTGTGGTCGTCGTCCTCGTCGCATTCGTTGTCCTCGTTCGTGTTGTCTTCGTCTCCCGTGTCGTCGCCGTCGTGGTTGCCGTCTTCGTCGCACTTGCCATCGTCGTTGTCGTCGCCCTCGCGGTCGTCGCCGCCCTCGATGATGTCCAGTTGGCTGGCATGCGTGCCACTTTAATGTCCCGCCGGGCCCGACCAGCCCCCGCCCGACCCGCCCGACTTGCCCGCTATGGTCCGCCCGTCCAGTCCGCTTGTTAGGGCCCGCCCGCCCGACGCGCCCGTTAGGGTTTGCCAGCCCGACGCTCCCGTCAGGGTCGACGTCGCCGTCGTCGCCCCCATTGTCGTCGTCGTTGGCGTCGTTGGCGTCGTCGTCGTCGTCGCCGTCCTTGTCGGCATCGCAGTCGTCGCCCTCGTCTTCGTCGTCTGTCGTCGGCTTCGCCGTCGTTCTCGCCGTCTCCGTCGTTGTCGTTGTTTTTGTCGTCGTTGTCGCCCTCGTCATCGACGCCGCGGTCGTCGTCGCCACCGTCGTCGTCATTGCTCTCGTAGTCGTCGCTCAGTTGGATCACATGCGTGCCACTTAG